CGAGGTACCTATCTAAGGGGGTCGCTGCTGTGGATGGCAAACGAAACGGTTTCCTCTAGTTGTTCATTAGCCTGGGGGGGGGGCATGCTGGAGGCTGGAAGGCAACAGGCAGCGTCAGTGGCCTGGACACCGCTCAGGGTGGGTCTCCAGAGTTTGAAGATGCCCGTGCTGGCCTGTTACAGGGAGCGTGGAGGACCGCTCACTGCACCGATGATGCCCTGGAAATGGCACTGACCAACAGCGAGCGTAAGCCCGACCCTGAACCTGCGCCCCCCATTCTGCCATCCTGGCTTCTGGCTGGGGGGAGGAAGGAGGAGGGAGGGGCTCCAGTCCAGTCCACTTCTCCATCACGCTCTGCTCCTGCCTCTGCCTCTGCCTCTGTGCTTTGCTCCTGGCTCCGTCCTTTCTTCACCGACACCGACACGTCAACATCCCACGATAAGCTCCATTGAGCCCCCAAGACTCTGTCCCGTCGGAGCCCATTTGCGAATTGTAAGTTGCCGTCCATGTACCATTCTTGATCGAAATCCCTCACTCGTCTCGCGCGCCGACCCTTCCCACGACCTGGCGCGTGCCTTTTGCTGCGCTTGTCGGCTTTCTCCTTACCACATCTTTGCCCCCATTATCCCTCCATCTCGCCTGCTCACGTACCCATCCCGCGACTGGTTGAGGTCCAAATTGCCCCCCCATCCCCTTCCTACCCACCATCACAAGGGCTCCTTGAACCATCAGACAAAGAGGGCAGACATCACGGTAGCCTAGCTTCGAACCGTTGCCTATTGTCAGAGCGCTCGAAAACTTGTCTCGGCCTCCCCCCCCCCCCCCCCCCCCCCCTTGACCCCCAGCCTGTCCTCTTGGGAACCCGCCGAGATACCAACCTCCGATCAGACTACGTCGCCGCATCATTCATCATCTCCGACCTCTTCCTTTTAAACCGGTCTACATCGCACTGTAGACTTGCGCTTACGCTCTTTTCTTTCCAACAGATCCCTATCCATCCTCGCCTCGTCATACTCAGCCGTCGCCGACGCACACATCGCCATCATGGGTCTCGCGTTTTCTAAGATCTTCGACAAGCTCTGGGGGAAGAAGGAGATGAGAATTCTGATGGTCGGACTCGACGCCGCCGGAAAGACCACTATCCTCTACAAGCTTAAGCTCGGCGAGATTGTCACGACTATCCCTACCATCGGTACGACTGCCTTAAATTTTTTCCCCTGACCCCAATGCCGCCATTTTACCCCTCACTCTGTTCATCATGATATGATGGTGGCGGGTGGCGGGGGGGATCGAGGGACCCTGAATCGCCAATTCCCATAGTACCTGGAGCGCCCGTGCTGACCCCCACTCCCAGGATTCAACGTCGAGACTGTCGAGTACAAGAACATTCAGTTCACCGTGTGGGATGTCGGTGGTCAGGACAAGATCCGTCCTCTGTGGAGGCACTACTTCCAGAACACCCAGGGCATCATCTTCGTCGTCGACTCGAACGATCGCGACCGTATCGTCGAGGCTCGCGAGGAGCTCCAGCGCATGCTGAACGAGGATGAGCTTCGTGACGCCATCCTTCTGGTCTTTGCCAACAAGCAGGATCTTCCTGTACGTCACCTCGCCGCATCGACCACCTGCTCGACGCAGTCGACGCAGTGGTCAGCCTTCACTTGCCGCCGCGCACCAATGCTGACCCCTCTTTTCACAGAACGCCATGAACGCTGCCGAGATCACAGACAAGCTCGGCCTTCACAGCCTGAGACAACGCGCCTGGGTACGTCGCTTTTCCCTTTTTTCATCACTGCCCCTGATCCCACACACATGCTGACCGCCCTCGCCTCCAACAGTACATCCAGTCTACCTGCGCCACGTCTGGAGATGGTCTTTACGAGGGTCTCGAGTGGCTCGCCACCACCCTGCGGAAGGCTGGTCACCAGTAGATTTTCTACCCTTACCACCCCACGCAGTCAAGAAAAAGAGCCGCATGAAAGCCTCTAGCACGCTCGCCCCTCGGCCCATGAAAACAACCCCCTCCACCTCTCTCCGTGGCTCCGGATGTTCTTTGTTTGCAAAGTTATCAGTCACAACGCAGTCGAATAGTCCATAAACCATCGATCGCATTTCTTCCTCTAAGGCTGTTTCGCTTCCGTTCGGTTCTTTCGTGGCGGTTACGCGGCCTTGCCCTCTCTCTCTGTCTCTCTGTTCCGTAAGCTGGTTGATGCCAGTTAATGCCCTCCCATCCCCCCCTTTTCTCCTCGCCAGGTCGACAGCCTCAGAGGAAGAGAGGGCGGGCGGGCCACTCGTCATTTTCTCCGCTTCTGAAAACGAAAAAACATCAAAAGGTCGCACAGCTCGCGCACGCGCACGCTCACGCTCGCATTCGCATTTCTGGGTCTCGATCTGGACGATTGGGAGGGGGGGAGGCGTTTCTTTCAGGGCGGGGATTTTCTGTACTGTCTTGTTCAGGCGTCCGTCCCAGAAACTGTTGCTTTTTATTTTCACTGCCTCGTGTGCTCTGATCGCGTCCATTGTAGAAGTGCATGTGAATGCCATGATAGGGCTCGAGTGATGATGTGTATGATTCTCTAGACCTGTTGTGACTCGGCTTGTAGGCGACCGAGTCGCCAAGAAATCCAAACAGACACAGAAACACGTGTCTACCCGCCAGGCGAGAGGGACTTGGTTGTATCAATGGCTAGGCATCCGCGGGGTCACGACACCACAAATGTGATGGCAAGAGAAGGCCATGCTCGAAAGCAGATCAATGTACCAAGCCTTCCTGTATATTCAGACAACCCCAGCTAGCCTGCGCGACGCCATTATGAGAACCATGTCTATCCAAACATCATCCAAGGAACCATGTCTACCGGGTCCCGTTACAAGACAACAAAACACCAAGACGCCGTGCCATGGGCAAAGAATGCCAGAGAAACAGAAACGAGGGGGGGTTGGCGTGGGACTCATCAAGATCCCGGCCCAGACTGCGGAACCTCCTTGCCGCCGTTTCCGCCCTCCTGCTCCTCCTCCTCCTTCTGCCTGAGCCTGTCCTCGGCCTCCTTCTCGGCGGCCTGCTTCTTCTCCTCCTCGGGGTCCTTCTTGCCCTCGACCGGGAGCTCGACGTCCTTGACGGGGTGGATGAGCATGGGCGGGAGGCACATGCGTCCCTCGCCGCCGCGCAGGTGGCCGACCGTCTTGCCGTCCTTGGTGGCGTCCTCGACGAGCTCAAACTCCTCGCCGCCGTCATTGTTGACCTTGAGGCCGAGCCAGCGGCGGTAGAGGTTGGGGCCGAAGCCCGAGTTGTAGAACCACGTGAGGCCGCGCATGTTGTGCTCGCGCTGACCAAAGACGGACATGCGGCTGCCGCCGCTGGCGCCGTTCTTGCCGGCGTTGAGGACGGCGCCAAAGTACTGAATGGGCCACTCGCGGTCGACGAACTGTGGGTGCGGGGCGAAGACGGCCTTGTAGCCGTGGTGGAAGGCGGCCGTCGCAGGCCACATTTCGGGGAACGCAAAGTGCTTCTTGTGGGCCGTCTCGCGGTGCATGGTCATGAGAAGGCGGCGGGAAAGGCGCGAGGCCGTGACAATGTGGGCGCGGCGCGGCGGCAGGGGCTCGGAGCGGTTGTTCTTGTTGTAGCCCGTAATATCCTCGGCGAGGCCCCAAGTGGTGCCTTCCGGGTCAAAGATGGGGTTCAGCGCGATGAGATCGGCCTCCTCGCCGATGCCCCAAGCGCTCTTCTCCTTTTCGGAACCGGTGGGCGACTTTGGATCGTTCTCCGTCTCGAACCAGTCGTCCTCGTCAGTGGGACGCTCAGGACCCCAGATGGGCTTCTCCCCCGTTGTTGCCGCCTTGTCGTTGCTCTTGGCGCCGGGGATATCGTGCCAGACGTTGTCGGCATTCGTGGTGCCCATCTCGGTCTGGACGCGCGACATCTGGCGGAAATCCTCCCACGAGCCGTGGATGCTCGGGATGTAGAAGCGAGAGTTGCGCTCCCAGAGACCCTTGCGAGGCTGCTCACGCGCCCAGTTCTCCACCTTGGACAGCAGGTCGTAGTGGTGACCGGTGTAGCGAATGTCCATCTCCCACGACCAGTAGTAATCGTACTCGGGGTGGTTGTAGGCAAAGTACTGTAGGGCCATGGTCAGACCGCGGTACACACCGTGGACGGGTAGGTCCGGGCCCCTGCTGAAAAGGTCGTGCATGCCCTGGTAGATGGAAAGCATCTGCGTCTCGGTCCAGAGTGTCACCAAGCCCCTGAACTCCTCAGGGATGCTATCCTTGATGCGCTGTTCGTAGGCTTCGTGATCAGCCCAGATCGGGTGAGCGCCGTCGTTCTTGACTTGGACAAGCAGGTGAATATCGTAGCGGCCGCCAGAAGCGAGGGAAAGCTCAGAGATGATGGAGCGAATGTTCATAACATCGTCTTCACGGAAGAGGTATTCGTCCCAGGCCCGGATGACGATGGCAGTGCGCGACCTCTTGTCGGACTCGGCCACGTGGTCGACCTTGTCTGTGGCGTCGTTGGTCTTGGCAGGAGGTGTCGTGGTAGCGTTCGACTTGGTATCAGGAGGGGCGGCAGCTTCGGCGTCTCGAGCGGCCAGGGAGCCAGACGACGAACCATGACCGATGTAGAAGCCGTGGGACGAAGGTGTGCGCGGGGGCAGTGACTTGTACCGAGCCTCGTTGCTCTGGTAGCACCGTCGCTGCGCATCAGCCCAGTTCACCTTGGTGTAATCGACCTTGGAGTCCTCCCAGACAGACGAGGAACCTTCGAGCTCGCCGTGCTCGCCGACACCGAGACCGCCAGCGCGGAGAGAGTAGCCAAAGCCGTAGGGCCCGTATCTTCCGTAACGCTCGTAGCAGATGTCATCAGGCAAGCCGAGGAGCTCGTAAGACCCCAGGACATTGTCGGGGAAGCCCTGGGGGCGGCCCTCGTAGTAGCGAAGCGCAGGGACGCGGACCTTGTTGTCGGCGTCGAGGAAGCACTCGTGGACGTGCTCGGGGTTGGTGGTGAAGATGGAGCCGGGGTGGTTGACAAAGAGCTTGCTCTCGGGCAGTGCACGCTTGGAAGCGGCATCGTCAATGCCGTCCTCTGAGGTCTGGGTGTCGGTGACGTTGACGTCGAGGGCGTCGAGGGGCAGGTCGTCCAGCGAGCCTGGGTACTGGGGCTTGTTCTTGGCGACGGGGGTCAGGGTCCTGATGCCGCCGTAGTACCTCGTCAAGAAGTCAAATTGCTCCCAGAGCGGAGGAGGGTCGGGCTTTTTGGCGACCTTGCCTTGGGCTAACCTCTGGTTCTCGTTCTGGCTGGCGCGCACCAGACTCAAGATCATGATGCCGATGAACAGAACGAGGCCCAGGCACATGTAGCGCACGATCTTGTTGGGCAGCCTGTAGAATTGTAGGCGGCCGGGCCGCTGGGGGCCGACGGGCTTCCTCGGCAGCATCAGGGCATCGCTTGTGTGGGACGAGGCGGATTGCCTCGAGCTCCCGGTGCTGGGGAGCGACTCGTCGGAGTAAACATCAGAGTCGTCGGATGATGCGTAGTAGGCTTCGTCGTCGGACAGTCGCTCCTTCTGGACCTTTTCGTAGAAGGGCAGCCTCGAGGGCCGTCCTCGACGTGTGCGGAGGGGATTTGAGAGGAGACCCATTGTGGTCGACCTGCCCGTGCTCACTGAATATGGAGGCGTCAGAGGAATGTTCTGCAGCAACGCTTGTGTCGGCACTCACAGATGCGTTGGAATGTAGTCAGTTCAACTTTGACGGCGGGCAACGGCCCTTGGAATGGCGGGGCACTCGGTCGGGCACTCGGTCGAGGGTTTGTTGCAGTGGTACACGGAAAAGGCTTGTGAATGTACGAGTTGCTGGGTGGCAGATGGGCGGCAGGGTGGCTATGTGGTACAAGGTTAAAGTAGGGAGAAGCTCTCGCGATATGGCGGAGAATCAGGCAAGGCCATCTGAGCTTGATGAGGCAGTACCAAGTCGTCCCAGCAAGCAGGTGCCAAGTTTGGTGGTCATCGGCCATGGGCCATGGGCCATCGGATGGAAACAGGAAGCCTGGCATTCGGGTCTTTGATTGGTTGATCATGCGGGCGACGTGATGGGCCGTTGTCAGGAGCAACGGGCCATCCTTGACCAATCATGTCTCTTGCTGGCTCCACCGAAGTACCATGTACCTACACCAGGCTCCCATCAACACACCAGGCTCCCATCAACACACCAGCCTCAGCAGACGCATCAGCCTCAGCAGACGCATCAGCCTCAGCCTCAGCAGACGCATCAGCCTCAGCAGACGCATCAGCCTCAGCCTCAGCCGGCCGCCAATGTTAATCATGTTCTGCGTACCGACTTACCTGGCCACCTACCTACCTTAGCTATCCTGGCAACCTAGGCAATCCTGGCAACCTAACCAGGTAGGAGAGGCTTCGTTCAATTGACGAGCAACAGCGCCTACGAAATGCAACATAACAAGGTTTCTTTTCTCGCAGAAGCCCAATGTCAGCGGACTCAACGTCATCCGTAGAGAGCTGCGGAGGAACATTTGAAGAGGAGCGTTGACAAGTAGTGTCTGCCTAGCTGTCATCCTGACATGTCTGAGGTGAGCCATGTCAACCAAGACAAGAGAGAGCTGCATCTCGCAACTTGGCGACGAGCTCATCGGCACCACTCGCCAGGTCAGCAAGGCAAACTCCATCAGCCAGGTCTCTCGATTCTCTCGATATCGACGGCCCTCTCCCGAGGCATCCGCATCGCCGTGCCACGATCGAAAGGGCCCAACAAAACCCCCTCAAAGATACTGCTCTAAGCCTCGTGTCCGAGAACCTTGAGAGTTTCGACAACCCTGCGGCCCTGTCGCCCGTCTCCGTTGAGATTTTTGGTTGCTGCTCCTGTTCCTCTTCTTTTCCAGGAAGGGAGCAGGTATTTTACCTTTGGCCGCAGTTTGGAAAGGGGCTGACGACTACCCATCTTGGTGTGTAGTACCATGGCTGTTTATGAGAGTTTGTCGATCGACAGAGTCTACATGTGCTCGTGTTCCGCATCGGTTGAGACTCTCGGTTGGGACTCTCGGTTGAGACTCTCGGCAAATGCCAACACTGCCCGACATGATGAGACACCTATTCATGTCCTTCAAGGCGTCCTAGCATACAGGAACATCAGACACGATTCGGCACAGCCAAACCCATAAAGAATCGACGACCCGAGTGCGACAACACCACCAGTCAGTCAGCCCCCCACGGACAATGCAGCAGACATGGAAGCAACCAACCGGCACGGAACGATGGGACAGCAGACCACACTTGGGGAGCGTCCCTCTGTGCCCCGGTGTGGGCAGCTAACAGGCCCCTCACGTGGCAGCTGTGCATCGGGCCTCGTTCGCTGGGGGGTCCCGGCTAGCCAAAACCATGTCTTGATCACCATCAGCCCAACGTCATGTGGTTTGCCTCCTCGCCAAGCCTTCTTTTCACCAAGTCTCTCCCGTGCCCCCCGCCCCTCGACAGGTCCAGTCACAAACCGACACAACGGTGAATTGCAACATCAGCCCATGTCTTCAGACGTCGTACCCTGGTCTGGTCCTTTTGACGTGTTCGTTGCGGCCGCCGTTCGTTCGGTCTGACCTCCCCGGTCTGCAGCGGCAGGCCTCTTCGTGACCTGTGAGCATCCAAGTGGACTACAGTACGCGCTTGGGTCAGCGTTATGCTCGTAACACCGCCTTGTTCATTCATCAACCCGAGCGAGCGACAGCCCGTTATGTCCTGTGGCTACCCAACAATGGAACCCTCCCCTCTCCTTTCGTCAACGGCACATGCTTGTCTACCGACCCTGGGTCTCTTTATCTGACCTTGCACTAAAAAAGGCATGTATGGCATGTTTGGAGGGACCTGGCTTCTCAACCAGCCCCTCCCCCCCTTCTCCCCTTCTCCGACTCGCGCTGAGGACCCAGCTTTTCCGCCCGAGACCTGCGGTCTGCGGTCGAAGCGTCCACTAGCATTTGACGTAAATCAGCGCCACCTGTGACATGATCCGCTGGCCTGCTGCCTCTGGCCTGCTGCCTCCGGCCTGCCGCCTCCCCTATCGTCCGGTCGAGACCCTACCGAGAATCCTGAGTCCTGGCCTACCCCGCATAGAAAGTGTGTACATAGTACAGCACCGCTCGCTGCCTTTTCCCACAGGTTGCATGAACGATACTGGGCTAGGTACTTTGGTTGCTTGGCTACCTACCATCTGCCCTGACCTAAGGGACCTGACCCTGGACCGCTTGGGCACCTTTGCAAGTGTGCGCGCGCGTGCTTCTCGCTCCCTCCCTCTCGCGCACTCTTATGAAACAGACCTCGATCCCCTCTAATCATTTTCTCCTCTTCTTTCCTTTTCATCTCACTCTCTCTTCCCAGGACTTGGTCTCTTCACTCTCGAGCCTGTCCCCGAAGACCACACACTCATCAGACAATGGGTCTAGATGGCGAGCATATCAGTGCCCATGCCTGTCTAACATCGCCGGACACCTTGGACATGTCACTCGACCCGTGTCCCACGACGCCGCTCCACGAGCTTCACCATGACCATGATGCCCACGCCACGTCTCTGCCGACCCCCAAAGCGAGGCCCTGGCCGTCGAGCGTGAACTGGACATGGACAGCCTTCGTCGTGGCCCTGCATGTC